TAAGTATATTTTAATCATATATTATATTGTTTATAAACTTTTATGAAGGAGCTGCGATTTAAGTGGACCTTGCAGTGAAGGAGAAGGTATTTTATCTCCATTAGATGAAGATTCATTTGCAGACACTGAACACACTGTTGCTGCATCGTCTGTACCAACAATCAACGATCAGACGTCTAATGTAATGAAAAATAATGATATTGAGGGTAATTAACGTTATTCGATAACCGAATTTAATAAATATAAAAAAATGATTTGATAACTTCTATTGGATATATTTTAGAGGTATTTACCATGGAGACAGAGGATAATTTATGGACTTCTTTAAACAATACCGTGCCGTACGATATTGACTTACATATAGACCTCAACTTGAATGCCTGCGATGATACAAATGATGATAGAAATAAAAATTCGCCTGATGATTCTGCAAAATCGTCAACGATTCCAATACCTGAACAATCAAATAATGGAGTTAAATTAGTAACTGATTTTAACAGCATTGGTTGTAACGTTGGAAGTAAAACTTCCAGTGAAGATTTTACTTATGTTAACGCATATGGCATGAATATTTATTCGGATAGTAATCTCCCAGAAAATATGTGCAATATAGATGTTAAGGATGATAATTCTGCAGTGCTTTCCGCGGATTGTGATAATAAAAATGACGTGATTAAATCTGACGAAAATTTACAGCAATTGGATCATCTTTACCGAAAATCTATTTTAAGTGAATGCACAATTTCTGAGATGAGCGCAGAATCTGTTATATGGTTATCCCATAGACTCGGCCCGGTACTCACAGCACGATACCTGTCGCGAAATCTTCTGAGAATGCTGACGTTATGTTACGCTGGGAAAGAAAATTTAACATCAATTGATGATAATAATTTCATGCATCTGAAGGGCGTTACATGGAAGAAGCCGATATTAGCTGGTGATCAAAACGCTATTAAAGTTTTAGAGTGCCTCACATCTATTGCAGGTATGTACAAAAAAGTATACATATGTGAATTATTTTGTCAATAAGTAAAATGACATTTTCATCAACTATTTTATCAGGATTATATGGCGAACAAATTATATTGCTGCAATACTTTGCACATATAGTCGAGCTATTAGCGTTGTGTAAGAGAAAGTTAACACAGAATTTAGAAGGAGGCCTAATTTCTTGTCTGGCTCTATTAAATCACATTACAGTATATCTTAGCGATTCTACGGTGATGGATGTGCTTCATGTAATGTTTATCATATAATTAATTACTACATGTTAATATAATGAAAAAATCTGGAATAGCTCAATTTTGTTCATATTTAAATGTAGGAGCCGATTGTTAAATCCATATTGCATCCCACAGTACGCATATTATCAACCGCGAGATTTACATTTCCAAATGGAACGCTTGCGCGTGTTGCTTTAGCTGAAAAATGTTTGGAAGCAATGTTCATTCTTAGCTTACGGCTTGGCAATGTGATCACAAAAAATCATTTAGCAGTACCAATTCAACGCTTCTTTCTGGCTTTTGATAAAGCTTTCAGTGAAAACTTAGACGGTGGAGTTTCAGCAAATAATTTTGGACAAAAAGCAGATACGACCTACGAACATTTCGTACGGTAATAATACATAAATGAACATTGCGATTTAATTACGTATTGTGCGTTAAGAGGAGACAAAAAGTTTGTATGATCAAATTGAATTACAATTTGTGAATTTATTTCAGGAAAAATAAATGAATACATCTTTGTTTAGGTATTATTTATCTATAAAAAAATTAATTTGCAAAACAAATTTATTTTAAAAGTATAGGAAATTTCTGTCTTACTGAAAATTGAAAATTTCAAGCGAGACGCATTTTGATTCTGAGGAAATAATCTACTATTTTTTGTCTAGTTTTTCTCAGAACATTTTGTTCTACAGATTGAATTAAAATGGACGATTAGAAGAATGGCATTACAAAATAACATAAACGTAAAACTTTGGTTATTATATGTATAAAAATGAATTTATGTTGTTTATGTTATTACTATTTTTTTATAATATTGTTTAATCTCTATTCACGTTTAATTTGTAAAATAAAATGTCTTAAGGGTAAAATAGGCCAGAAAATAGCAGATATTTTTATTAGAAGTCACAAAATTGTCACAAAACTAAATATTTTCGGACCTATATCAACATAAAATTCCAAAAATTTCTACATTTTTAAATAAATTTTGTATTATAAATTTATTTTCCTATATCAAATAGGAATAGGAGTAATTCATAAAATTTAAATGTAAAATTATGTCTATATTTATTCCGTTCCTATAAATATACAAATTTTGTCTTCAATTTAATTATATAAACCTATTACTTTCCTCCCTTATTTAATAATAAGATTAATGACATGCCAAGATATTAATTTTTATTATTTCATAGAATGAAAGCCACAAACGAAGAATCTGTTAATATTGGAACTTATACATGGAAAAAACTAGATACAGATATTGCAGATTCGTATTCTCCTCCAATCGTAGAAAATAACGACGTGCTAGACTTGCAAAGAAATAGAGTAAGATCAAATAGTTTACGACTCATGTTTCTCATCTAGATGTTATAAATGCATATGTATGTATACTAAACTTTTTATTTACAGGCATTTGAAGAATTACGAGCTGTGTTCACTATTGAGTTTGCTCACAAAGCCTATATGCTTTTTTATAGATGTATTCATATTGAAATGATGGAACATATACTTAAAAATCACGAGCATATACAACAGCTTTGTCATGAATACGAGCAAGGAATAAAAACAACTTCTGTAAATAACGGTAGATGTATAAAATATTTCTCAATTATTATTATGATTGATATGTAAATATGTTCGTTCTTATGTCTCGTTTTTAAAGATAATGCAGATAAGTACAATACTTCCGTGGATTGTGATGATACCGAGAATGTAGAATCAGTTGACAAAGGTGCTTGCAGCTTCGGGAACATATCTGTAATAGGAAACAGATTCGAGATACAGAAAGATGATGCGAGATCTCAAGTGCCAGAGACGGGTATTGTTGCCAGTCGCGAAACAACTTGTCCGTCATCTGCTGGTAGACAACTACGCGGTAACTGGTTAGCTTATTGGGAGCATGAGATAGGAAGACCAGAGAAGGATACAATATTTAATATAAAGCAGATAAAACTTCAGTCTTTCAACGGACATACAAATAGTGTAAGATGTCTTTATGTATTAGACAATGAGAACAGTTTTATGAGTGGTAGCAGAGATAAAACTGTTAAACTGTGGAGTTTACGGAGCCAGGTAAGGTATATTCTGTTCAAGTTAACAAAAAATGTTTGTTGTATAATATCTAGAATTATGATTTTATTGTTATAATGAAATCAGGGTGATGGTACTACAGTTTCATCATGTCAGTATACATATACCGGACACAAAAAGTCTATTCTTTCACTTACATTCTTGGAATCTTTGAGATATGCAGTGACATGCGACGGCATAATTCATTGTTGGGACCCTTACATGGGCTCACTTCTCGGATGTCCGGAAAGCAGTCGTCCAGTTCCTGTGAATATTTTAGCTTCGAGTCCTTCCCCTTCTACAACTCTTCTTGTAGGAACAACCGATATTACTCTTAGAGTTATTGATTGTAGAATATTTCAATATGTTAATGAAATGAAAGTAAGCACAAAATATACATATTAATATCCAAAAATTGTAATTTAAGATACATAAAATTTAATGTTAAAATCATTTGATAAGATTTCCATGAATCCAACGGGTTTGATAAGATGTATCGCAGTGTCGCCTAGTACTAACTGGGTCGCTTTAGGTCAAGCATCAGGTTTCTTAACGATACTCGATACTCGCACCGGTCTGATCATAGCATCTTGGAAGGGACATGAATGTGAGGTAAAAACTTAAGGTCTTTTATCTTTGAAAGTTTCATAAAAAAAGCTATTTTCGAAAACTTAACCAATTTCCATAAGATTGTTACGAAATCCCTATGGTATATTTGTTGTTCGATTTATTGATTTTTAATGTTATAGATATTGCAATTAGAAGCGATAAATGAAACTACTATAGTTAGTTCTTCTTTGGATCAAACTATAGCTGTGTGGAGTGCAATAGACGGAAAACTTAAATTTCACATGAAGTAAGAAAACTTGTAGTTTTATTATATAAAATTAAATAAATAAAATATAGTTTACACAAATTATTTTTTATCAATTTTCAGAGGCGCAACAGAACCTGTTCATTGCATGGCAATGCACGAACAAGCATTGGTAATAGGAACAACAGCAAATCGAATTGGTGTTTATACCGCTGTAGAAACGACTGCTTCATTAAGCTCATCTAAGTTAAGATCTGACGCTTTTAAAGGCATTCTTACTGCTTTGGCGGTCCTGCCTCTCAATCGATTACTATTATTAGGTGCTGATAATGGTGGAATAACACTACTGTGTTAGAGCGTTATTTACAAAACATAGTGAATGTGCGTATGTGTGCGCGTGGACATTATTACAATATAATACAATAATGAGGAATAGAAAAAGTCTAATTTAACAGAAAGTATGAAATCTATTACAATACATTTCATTTTTACAAAACACATTGAAGAGAAAGATTTTCTATACATGAATAATATCTGTTCTCATCGCTATTACTTTTAGAGCAAGTTCAGCAGACATTTTGTACACGCTGACATCCGCTAATATCTCTGCCGATACATTTTTATCATTATTATTTAATGATTCTTCGAGCAATATTGCTGAACCTATTAGGATATTTAAAAGTATACACGCTTCTTTGATTCTAGAACATAAAAATAAATGAATTATTACATGTTTTAGCAAATAAGTTTTAACGAATAGTTTTAATAATTTTTAGAGAGAGAAAGACTTACAAAGGAAAATATGATTCTGGTTTGTTAATATACAGACCAAATAAAGGAAATAGATTCCTCAGAATATCATATTGTAATTGTTCGGCACCACCATTATTGAAATAATTTACTAGTACAACTTCTTCAAAGAGAAACTGTGAAAAGAAATATTTGAAAAAAAAATGAAAATTATTATATGTAAAAACTAATCTATTTTCTTTTATTTTTATTTTGTATACTTGATCAAATTGAGCAGCTAAATTCTTCCAAGCTTGATTAAACAACGGCAAGGCAAGAACATCGTGTAATATATGAAGACGTGTAGCTAGTTCTTGGAACATGGGACAACCACTTGGTGTCATCGATAACGAAACAACTTCTTTTGAAGATTGCATCGCAAACCATCTTAGAACAATAAAAAGTATTTTAGAATTTAATAATAAATGAAAAATATAATTTAAACAAAATTAAATATTTTCAAGTTCTTTATATTTGTATAATATATTCTTTGTTTCTTGTTTTTTACTTTTTACTCCAGATTTTTTCCTTTACTACGTTTTATCGATATTCACGTTTCTTTTATTTTTTGTATCTTCCAAAGTTCATCAATTTTTATTTTAGAGATAACAAAAAACAAACTTGGACAAAAAAGTAAAAACTAAAAGTGATAAAAAGTAAGAAACAAAAAACAAAGTACATATTGTAGATTAAGTTTTAGCGTATATAATTTTAATGTTTTACTCTATATTATATTTACTCTACATCTGTATTTAAGTTTATTCCGAACATTTCAATTTTTTTTCAAGCTATTCTTAGCAATTGAACAATATAATAAAAATAAAGGTACGCCCTTAATAAACCATGATTCGACATTTCAACATCGAGAAGGTTCAATCTTGATAGTGTTGATTGTAATTTTTGATTGTAATAATTTTTACTGATGATGGTCTAAAATAGACCAAAACGTCTAGACAAATTTAACGTATAATTTGAATAAAGGACATTCGTTCATCATAACTAGCGCTGTGACTCTGTTTTGGTTTTAAAGTAGATATAATTTAAAATATTAAAATTGTATACGTTAATAATAACTACGTTATTTCTCAGTGGCCTTTGTTTTTTACAAAGTTTTTACTGGAAAAATAATTGTAGTAGAGTAAATTAGGAAAACTCTTACTTGTCTGTTCTATAAGCTCTGCTTTTTGCTTTTACGTCTAAAGCTACCGAGTCACTGATTTCATTTATCAGTTTTTTCTCTAATCGTCGTAAGAGAACTACAGCTTCATCAAATATAGTTCCTTCTATTTCTCCAATATTCTCCTTAACATCATTACCTTTATCTGTGGCATTTTCCACAGTTTCAAATTGCTTTTTGAAGAAATGCAGTTGTAAGAAGTGCTACACAAACACGAGATTATGACAAATAAATGAAATAATATATAATTTGTGTATGATTATAGATGAAAATATACATACAACAGTCACGCCCCATTCTTCCAAAACAGTTGCGACATAATGTAGTGTATTGAGAATATACGGCATAAGTGACGTTAATGGATCTTCAGAATTTTCATGTACCAATTGTAACAATCGTATTCGCCAATCGTCAATCAATTCCAATTGCAATTCGAGAAATTGTAATCTTTAACAATATCAACGCAAATAAGTATCATTTTTTGCTTATAACGATTTCGTATGACTTACCTATGTCCAGGTTGAGGTAAGTGTTTGTATCTATCAGAAATTGAGGTGAGGAGCATAAGAAAGGCGTCTGCACATTCAGTGACTTTCATATCATCTGTATCAAAACTTATCAGTCTTTCCCATGCTGTATTCGAGCTTAATATTGCATCCATTTTATCAGTTGCATCTAAAATCATAATATACAATACATGTTTGAAATATGCATGAAATATTACTTCCTCGTGTGTTGTGTTGTACTTACATTTTTTCTCCATATTTATCCATTTTACAAAAATATGGGCTTGCGTAAGAACAAAAATAGTAGCCGGCTGAGTGTGAGGATACAACAAAGTCTCTCGCAGTTCTCTCTCAAATCCTAAAGCTTCGTCTACTAAATGCGCAAATAATGTGTCGTCATATTGTACCACAGGTAATTCGGAATGGAGTTTTTCAACGGCTAATTGAACTAGAGCGCGCATAAATTCAGCCTATATATTATATACTATAATTAGTGATCAGAAATGATATTAAGAGTCAGTAACAATAATTAATTAATTGTTATATCACACCTTTACGTCTAAATGCTTAAAACCTACAGCGTCTGCTACAGGTTGAACGTTTTTTTGTACCCACTGCATATGGTCTTTAATCCATGTTAATATTTGTGTAAAAAACCATTCTGGCTTATCTTGACGGTTTGTTAATTTAGCTCCTGTGAAATGATAAATAAACCTTTGTCGGAGGGGACGTACTAAGAAAGTAATTGGCAAACTAATTGGTGCAAAGTCTGTTAACAGCACAGATGTTACAACCGGTTTAATCATTTCATCTCTGAATATATTAAGGACAATATGAAACAATTTTGCTGTGTGTGATTCATTTTAATCTAAAACATTTAAATTGTATAGTGCAAGGATACGGTAGCTGCAGATGAAAGAGATATTCAATGAGTATCCTAAATCTTGTCATTGTTTCTGGTAAAGGTGTACCCAATGAAGTAGCATTGCTTCCACAAAAAGGCCATTTCAATGTCTTCAATAAATCATTGTATTCCCTATAAATATTACATGTTTAGAAAATACAACTTATGTTTTGAATATATGCAAGAGAAAACATACTTTGACAATTTCTTCTTGATTAGATTGTGCCAAAAATGTAAAGTCTCATGAACATAATTGACCAGATGATGACATACAGATGTTTGCAATTTACAACTGATGTTTGTTAAGGTTGTATATAGAGTTATCATAGATTGATCATCACCAGATAACAAGGATGCTTCTATTTCCTGACTGTGTATAATACAGCTATTTAATAGACAAAACTAAAACACCTTACATATGTTTAGGAGATGGGAAGAATTATTATGCCGTTACTTTTACCGTTATTTATAATAATTTAAACATGACGTTACAATTTTTTATGACTATAACTAACTAAATGTTAAGGTTGCGCTAAGGTTAGGAAAGTCACTTTGAAAAGTAACTTATCACTATTATTTATTTACTGAAAAAAATAAGTAACACTTATAGCAGCATTGATGAGTTATTTTATCCATTATAAATAACAATTAAAAATAGTTACAAATAAAAAGTTACCTTTTTCAGTAACGAGTGACTTTTTCAATTTGTTACAAGTAACACATTTGACTTTTCTAAATCTGGTATTACCATTACTATTAAAAAAATTCACGACGTTACCAAATTGTTATTATAATAAAGTTATGAAAAATAACAGCATTATAACTTCCATTCTCTGCATATATCACGTCTCCTGCTTAATACCTAATATTTTCTATGTATCTTATGAAGTATAGATAGGATAATGATTTGTCCAGCTGACTTATCTTGTCAACAACTTCTTGCAGTTCTAAATTTTTGTCATTTTCGTTAAGCGTTTCTTTGATCATCTTAATGAGATCTAAACTAATTTCCTGTAACTGCTCAACTTCTAAATTGACACATTCTACATTTTCAACTACTGCCTTTACCTTGGAAGGAGCAGTGGTTGATGCCATTGATAACTGTAAGCAAAAAGTAAAAATTGATATAAAATGTTTAGCTATGTTATATACGCTATTTTATAAATAAATACCGATTTTTCAATCTCATCCTTTTCTAGTTTGAGGTGCTCTTGGAAATCGTAAATTCCTTCAAGATTTTTTAAAGTCGATCCCAATTGTTCATTAAATTTATGTATAATTTTTTGTTTGATATCCATTGGATATTTATTCAAAAGATACTCTTCACTTTCTCAATTTCAATGAAATTATGTTCATTCGATGCGTTTTTGCACGAAACGAAACAATTAGTAAAATGTTATTGTTGTTGCAATAAAACGTGCTCAGTCCTACGATGCGAAACATTAATTGTTGATCTATCGAGGTTATAAAATCTGTCACATAAATACAATGAACTGCGCATGTGCTATAGTCAGGTGATCAGTTGGGCTCAGTTGGGCTGTGTTCAGGAACATCACTCGAATCATCTCGAATGTTCCCGTGTAATCATATCCTTATTTAACATATCCCAGCATCCGAGAATGGTTTAAAATGGATTGGATTTTGTCTATTCGAATTCGTATTTTAAACAGCGAAAACTTTCTTTTGGATTCAATTGAATTCAATTGGATACAACTGGATTGAAAAACTGCGTTTCCTATTCAAAATTATGAATTAAACAATATTTCACTATGGTCATAAATGCACTGAAAAAGCTAATATTATTTTATGATTGAAAAGTATACAGATATGCTCCATGCAATTCCTATAAAATGAATAAAAACGTATTCGGATTGAAAAGGATTCATTTTAACATTCATGAATCCGTATTTCTGAAAATTTGAATCCATTTTAATCCATTTCAATCCATTCTCAGATACTGGGATGGGTAAACAACAAGGATAAAACTACACATGAGGGCA